AAAAACACAATTATGTAAAAGAAAAGTTAAAAATAATGATAAAATGAAAAATAAACAGATGGAGAAATGATTACAAAAATGAAGATGATTAATAAAACTGAAATCTAATAATTTAGGAAAATAAAGAATTGGCACTACTTATGAAGAAAAGAAGTTTCTAGAACTGGGCAGGAAATATACATAATGTGTCTGGAGCATCTCGTAATGCTGGAAAATGAGGATGTGGGAAATTTTAACAAAATCATGGATGAGCTTATACTAGAGGGGCACAGGAACCGAGAAAACACCTCCCAGTAGCCGAATCTTGAACAAGTTGAGCAACAAAATATATAGATAAAGCGGTGTTGAATTATAATCCAAAGTACAAAATAAGTATCTGTGAGTTCATACTGGTATAAATGGATGATTAAATAAAGTAATAAATTGGGGAAGGAGACAAAACTCTCCTGCAGAAGAATTATAAATTAATTAAATCAATGAAAAAGTTGCTGATTTTGAAAATGTAATATAGCCTTGTGTAAATAGAATCATGCTTTATGTATCTTAATGTATTTTTTGTGAGTTATTTTCCTCAATTATGTTGTTCTGTATGGCTGTAGTTTGCTTGTTTTCCTTGCTGGTATATATTCAGTGGTATAAATGATTCTGTTGTTGATGTTCCTTTGGGTTGTTTCTGCTTTTGGTCTCTTATAAACAATGTTGCTCTGAACATGTTTGCACGTGTACACTGTACCTCATTGTGTTCATATCCATGAATGGATCTCTTAGTCATAAATGACCATCAGCCCTCCCTATCCTCTAGGTTCAATTTGCTCTGCATAGAGTAATTCATTTAATCCTCACAATAACCTTTATGAAAAATCTCATTATCTCTAATTTTCAGGTGAGAAAACTGAGTCATGGAGACATTAAGTAACTTGCTCCAGGTGATAGAGCTAGCAAGCCTAACAGTCAGGTGTTTAAACAAGGATCTCCAATATGATTACTTAAAAAAAAATGACAAAAAAGAATGACTTCTCCCTTATCAAACTGTGACATTTGAGTCAAAATGAACAATAACCGAAGTACAGAATTGAGAGGCCAGACACAGATACATGCACAGTTAACCCTTGAACAGGAGGATGTTAGGCATGCTGAACCATGCACAGTTGAAAATCTGAGTATATCCTTTGATTCCCCAGAAAACTTAACCGTTAATAGCGTACATGTTAACAGTCAGTTAAGATATATTTTGTATATTTTTGTATATGTATTATGTACTATATTCTTACAATAAAGTAAGCTATGGAAATAAAATATTATTTAAAAATACTAAAGAAGAGAAAATGCATTTACAGTAATTTACTGTATTTATCGATACCATAAGTTTACGTCACTTGTTTAAAAGATAAATCTTCTGTCTGAAATGTCAGGCAACAGAAGCTGCAGTCCTCAATCTGAGGTACATATCAAGTAATTCTACTTTTTCTTGTAACATTATGACTTTTCTTCGCCTCTTGGAAACACTTCCAGCATTAATAGTGGTACTTTGTATGGGTACCATGGTGTTATTCATGCACTGGGGTATTGCACCAAGCATGATGAAAACTACTCCAGGTGTGTAAAGATCCTTTTTGTGCAATTTACTGAGGAGATGAACTGCTTATGTGGAGATGACTGGAGTCATATGGTAGATAAGCAGATACTCCCAACACTTGAGTTCACTGCAACAAGAGGGAGTGTTATTAAATTATTATAGTACTATAGTATGTGCTACAGTTAATTTCATGCAGTCATGATTTAATACAGTATCTTTTTTTACATTTCTTTCTTACTATGAATGGCACCATGTATGGCCTGTGTTTGTATCAAAGTTTTAATAAATTTTAAGTTTTCATAATAGGTTTTTGTATATTTTATGGTAGTAAATGATAAAATAGACTAGTATGAACATATCATTTATACATTCATGACATACCTTTTTCTTAATATTTTCACTGTTTTGAAGCCACAACATCAACTGTGGGTTTTTTCAAATTGTCCTAAATTTCCAAAAAAAATTCCAATATATTTATTGAAAATTATCCATGTATGAGAGGACCCATGCAGTTCAAATATGAGTTGTTCAAGGCTCAACTATATATGTGGGAATCTTTATATAATGAAGCTGGCATACAAACACGGGGGGAGAAATCACTACTCAATAGGTAATATTGGTATTCATCCTTTTCCTAGAAAAAGAAAAGTACAGCTTTCCCTCACACCAGTTACATAAGTAAATTGGAGATGAATAAAAGACTGAGTGTACAAAAGAGAACTTTAAGACCCTTAGGGAATATATTGAAGAATGTCTTTATGATTTTAAGGTGGGGAACACATCTTAAAGAAGAATCAAAACACAGCAATGGAAATATCTGATATATTTAATTGATTCCAATGTAATGATAACATAAAAAAAATTAAAAGAGAAATACAGGCTAGAACAATGTTTTATCATACCTAAAATAAAAAATGAAGAAGTCTCCTGAAAACGTCTATAGAACAATAAAAAAAAAATAGTCAATCCATAAGAAGAGGGCCAAGCTTTAGAACAGGAAATTCACAAAAGAAGAAATACAAATGACCAATAAATGTGAGGAGACATGTAAGATCTCTAGTAACTTGGGACATGCAGTGGGATACTGTTTTTTACCAATTGAGATTAGAAAAAGTGAGAAGGTCTGACAATATAAAAATCTCCAAGATATGGGGGAACCAGAACTTTCACTGTCAATGCAGATAGAATTTGTAGACCAATCTAGCTGTTCCAAGAAAAGTTGAAAATGAATATACAGGCCAGGTGCGGTGGCTCACGCCTGTAATCCTAGCACTCTGGAAGACCTAGGCGGGCGGATTGCTCGAGGTCAGGAGTTCGAAACCAGCCTGAGCAAGAGCGAGACCCCATCTCTAGTATAAATAGAAAGAAATTAATTGGCCAACTAATATATATAGAAAAAATTAGCCGGGCATGGTGGCACATGCCTGTAGTCCCAGACAATCGGGAGGCTGAGGCAGAAGGATTGCTTGAGCCCAGGAGTTTGAGGTTGCTGTGAGCTGGGCTGACGCCACGGCACTCACTATAGCCTAGGCAACAAAGCGAGACTCTGTCTCAAAAAAAAAAAGAAAGAAAGAAAGAAAGAAAATGAATATACATATTACAAGGAATACTAGTTTTATACATAAAGCTGTTCAATAAAGTACTGTTTGGGATAACAAAGATGTGGAATAACCTTGTCCATCAGTGGGGGAATCGATAAAATGAATAATTACACAGATTTATTTGACTCTGTTTGACTCACTAGAACCTATGTATGCTATATACAGCAATGTGCTTAGATGTTGTAACACTGAATTTTTAAATAGGTGGAGGGGAGTGATGAACAGATAAAAGCACACATGACATATTACTTTTGGCTGCGTACACTTAGGATTATAAACTTGAAGAACATGCACTGAAATCAGGATTGTACTTTTTGAGAAATAGAGAGAAGCCTAGGAATAAGGATATAGCAGAAAAAAACAAATAAGGTTTTATATTTGCCTTTATATAATTTAAATTATCCACATCCCCTGCCTTTCCAAAATAGAGTACAACACAGCAAAAAAGTTATTATTGGACATGGGCAAACAGCTGGCTCTGGGTATCATTTACCACAAGAGTGGTCCGAATTGCATGTGTCCAGATTGAGTGTGTCTGCAGGAAGTAACGTAGAATTCTGAATATAATTGCTTGAAGAACCCCCTCTACAATGACCTCCAACTCCCTAGCCTTTCCAGAAGATCATTTACAGACTAATTTAGCTGTACCTTGCTTGTCCTTGTTAAGCAAGAGAATACAACAATTTATGAAAGATTAATAGATATGTATTAATAGGAGTATAATAGGAGAAATCTTTTCTGAAAATTATTTGGTGCTTCTGTTTCGTGTCTGTCACAGGGCAAGATTTTTTTAATCCCAGGCTTCCCAAGGCATCGATCCGCCTTGGAAGAGATTGTGATGTTGCAGAAGGATAACAAGCAGAGATGCAGCTTCTAACATTCAAAAGTGGCAACTGAGCCAGGCTACCGCCTTCACAGACTTTTCAGAATTCTCTCAATTTCTCTGCACTGCCATATCCACAGTCTAATGCTACCACCTAATTGTAGTAATCTCCAATTCTCACCAGGAATTACAAGAGCAAGAACATCGGGTCTACCACCGGGGTGGGTCTGAAGCAGTCATCCTGATGCTCATTTGATGGAACTCACCCAAGGAAATAACAAATTTTCAAACAGATTTTCAACAAACCTCTTGTGTTTAGCCTCATTTTCACTCCCAACTCCAGAGGTAACTGGCATCACAAAATCTTGACCCCTTTTGATTCTCCACTGGAATTGAGTTGCTGTCTTGCTTTTCTCCCTGCCAACAAGAATTCAGCTTTCTAGGGTTTATCAACATGGTTCTCACTTTTCTACTTTCTCGTCTTGTCTACTATTCAATTTTCTTTACTATAGAATAGATGCAATAAAATGCAGAGATCTCAGGTCTTCACTTTGGTGACTTTGAACAATTTTATACACCTATGTAATCATCTCCCAAAATGAGATGTAGAACATTCCCACAAACCCATAACATTCTCTCATGCCTGGAACTTTTCAAGCAATTCTCACTCCCCACAAGCATACAACTTTCTGAGTTCTAAGACCAGAGTATAGTTTGGCATGTTTTTGTAATGAATAAAAATGATACAATACAGTATGTTTTCATTCGACCTAGCTTCTTTTCCCCAATCTGATGTTTGTGAGATTCATCTATTTTATTACATGTTCCAGCAGTTTATTCTTTTCTATTGCTTAATAATATTTTAATGAACTACGTTTTTCCAGTCTTGTATTCAGAGACATATGTATTGTTCACAGTTCTGGATTATTATAAATTAGGTAAATAGGAGTATAATTGCTAAGGATAGATGTGTGCTTAAGCTTAGAAGGGAATAAGCAAGCCTTTTCAAAGGGGTAGTATGATTTTACAAGCAATGTATGAGAGTGTCAATTGCTCTAAACATGATTCTGTTCCTCTCAGAGCCAGAATACATGGTTCCAGGAAACGCAGGGGTAGCACTGGGAGTCATCTATCATGCCGAAGGAGATATTTGCTTCTGGCCAGGCGACCCATCCTGAGTCTTCCTACCCTGACTCTAGGTGCTGAGCTGCTGACTGGCTGATATCCCAGGCTCAGTGGGGTCCAAAGGATCTGGCCTTATCCTCATTTCCACAGCTCACAGTGCTCGGGTAGTAGGATGAGCACAAAGGCATCCAAGGAAAAGGTCACCCTGGTTTTCCACACCTGCACCGAAAGGCCACTTTGTTGTATATGATCCAAGGCATGGTCATGAAATTGATGGCTTCCATGCAGTTGAAGCCATGGTTGAAGCCAGCATGGTAGCCGTAGGGAAACGTCATCATGAACTCTCCAGTCTTCTGAGTCACGCGACTGAAGGGGATCCCATTGTCCTTGAGGACAGTGGGCGAGATGAGGGCCACCTTGTGCCTCAGGAAGGCCTCACAGCCCCGGGAACTGGCAGGGAACAGCACCCGGGCCAGGCATTCCAGGCGTTGGCCATGTTCTGGGGGCACCGTGTGCCATGTTTTGGGCTCCCCGAAGTGCAGGTAGTTGATGCTGTAAAGGTCCATGTCCTCCGTGTGCCAGGCAAAGGTGGTCTTCCACATGCCAAAGTAGAGGTAGGGAGTGTTGACGCCTTGGATGACAACTCCGAATTCCTGCTCCAGTAGGTCCAGAATGGTTCCCAGGTGCCCAAGGTTCCATTGCTTAGTGTTTTCATCAGACAAAGAGCCATCCACCTGCCCTTCCAGAGGCCCCTGCTGGAGGGGAGCGGCTATTGAGATGTCATTGATGTTAGCATAGGTCTGTCTGGCTTTCCACTCCTTGGGTGGAATGACCTTGGCTAGGCCAGCTCGGTGTGCACCTTGGGACTCCATGTAAGCAATACATTTGTAGAAATCTGTAAATTCTTCCATGGTTGGGTAAAATGTCATGATTGTAAAACTTGTGTTATGAGTACCAGAGTGCTCAGACTTCATGGCATCAATATAATAAGCAGCAGACTCCCAAGTTCTTAGATATGTTCTAGATACTTGAAAATGCTAGGGAGTCAATTTTTTTTTCTTTATTTTCTTAAGTGTTATGGTTTATCTGTGAAAGAGTAACTCAGACTTGAACTTTTGAACAAATAAGGTATCTTTCCCAGGCTTGCTGATTAGCCAGAACAACTCTAGTCAGCATTATTTTGCCCAAAGGAAATAGAATATCTCCCAGTGGAGCAGGCCCCAAAGCCAGTTCTGGCTCAGCATGCCACTCTGCGAGGTTCCTCGGAGGGGGTATCACTGTCTCTAAGGCCTCTCCTGATTCTCACGTTTGGGTATATGTGTAGCTCCTAACCCCACTGCACTAGAAGTCTCTTCAAAGAAGTTGAAACACTGAACCTAAGGAAAAGAATACAGAATTCTTGAAAATAATTGTATGACAAAAGAAACACCAAGCTAGCATTAGGCTAAACCAAATCGGAATGACAATGTTAATGTCAGAATTCTAGGCAAATTATAAGACAGAAAAAGAAGAAAGTCTATTTTATCTGAAATTTAAAAAAAAGTTTGGAAAAATAAGTACATTAAGCTCTGTAGCCAAGAAATTGGATAAATTAGCATCAAAGAAAAATTATGGAAGAGAAAAACAAACATGTAAGTCAAAACAATTGTAACAGAAAACATAACACCTAATGGGGATGATGGTGAAACCAGAACTGATCCTTTGGAAAAACTGTTAAAAGTGAAAAACCCATAAGCAGGAAGAGAAAAGAGAGAAAATATAAACAAGCCACATTATGATAAAGTAGAAGACATTGCTAAAAATGTACTGGAGTTTTTATTAAAGTATAATTGAATCTTAATGAACAACTTGGTGGTAATAACTTTCTCAAAAGTACAAATATCCAAAAGTGGTTTGACAGAAAAACAAAGTGACTTACCTTCCACCAACAAAATCCAAATTCCAGACGAATATATGCCAGGCCCACACAGAGAGAAGGTTTCCTCTTGGCAGCTAGACTCCAAAGGAAGCTGTTGATCCAATGATCCTGGCTTTATACCTGGGCAATATTCTGATGCTATTAGTGCCCACCTAATGTATTCACAAGGTAGGTTCCTGGTGTGATATCTCACTTGATTAATGTCTTTTTTTATTAAATAAAAAAACAATTTTAAAAGAAAGCTAAGGGGCTCAGAATTAAGAGTCAGGAAAAGGCAAAACAGGACAAATATTAAATAAAAGAAACCTGGGATAGCAAAATTGATATCAAATGTATTTATAGAATCAAAGAGGGACATTTTGTAGTTATCAAAAAGAAAAACTCAATAGGAACATATTTCAGTGATGAACTTTATGCAACTAACCATATAGCACTGAGACAGAAAACCAAGGCTGTTAAAAGGTAAAACTAATTATTCTGCAATAATGGTAGAAGTTTTTTATTTTGTTGACACCATTCTCTCTGAAATTGATAGAGCAGAGAAAACAATAAAGCTATAAAAGTTTGAAAAACAAACTTAACAACCTTGATCATATAACCTCCAAGAACCACAAAGTAAATGGAAAATACTTTTCAATACATATAAAAAAACATTTATAAAAATTTATCAGTATAGGACTATAAATATCAATAAAATTCCATAGAATTAATATATTAAGCACATTCTTGACCACAATGCAATAAAATTTAAAGTCAACATTTAAAACTTAACCCAACCATAATTATTTGAAAATTAATATCCATATTTGTAAAACTCAATTCATCTTTATGACTAACTCCAGTGGTTAGTAAAAAAAAATTATGCAAAAGAAAATGAAACATAGAAGTAATTACTGATAAATAAAAATGGAAAACAAATATACACAGAAATAGATCATTAATAAAAATTGAAATCTGATACTTTTAAAGAAAAATAAAATAAAGAACTAACAATACTGATGAGTGAAAAAAAGAAGTTTCTAGCAATGAGTGGGAAATATACAAAATGAGCCTGGAGCATCTTGTAGTGCTTGAAAATAAGGTTGTACTTAATACAAACAAACAAAAACATTGGTGGGAGTATGCTAAAGGGGCACAGCTCCCAATGGCCAAAGCCTGAACAAATTGGGCAAAAATATAAAATAGTAGTGGATTATAATCTAAAGTACAAAATAAATATCTATGAGTTCATACTGATGTAAATAAATGATTGAATAAATTAATAAATTGGAGAGAAGAGACAAATATCTCCTGCAGCAGAATTCCAAATAAATTATACAGATATTCCACCCTCAAGAAGGGAGAGAATAGCCCTGTTCTTTCAAAAAAATTTTTATTTTCAATTGACAAATAAAAATTTCATATATTTGTGGTGTATAATGTGATATTTTGATGTATATTTGTGGTGTAAAATGTGATATTTTGATGTATATATACATTGTGGAATAGCTAAGTCAATCTAGTGAATATATGCATTATCTTACATATGTATTTTTTTTTGTGAGAACACTTAAATCCACTCTGTTAGCAATCATCAAGTATATAATACATTATGATTATAGTCCCATGCTATCACTAAATCTTCAGAACTTATTGCTCCTCTGTAACTGAAATTTTGTACCTATTGGCCAACATTTCCTCAATGTCCCCATCCCTCAACTCCTGGTAACCACCATTATACTCTCTGCTGAGTTTGACTCTTTTTGATTCCAAGTATAAATGAGTGCCTGCAGTATTTGTTCTCCTGTGTGGCTTATTTAACTTAGCATACTGTCCTTCAGGTTGATCCATGTTGTTTCAATGACAGGATTTCATTCTTTTTAAGGCTGAATAGTATTCCATTGTATATAGAATTGTTAGCCATAAATAATTTGTCTTTCCATGTAGAAAATAGATCGTGGATAAAAGCCCTTCACGTAACTTGAAGGTCAAAAGAAAATTTGCTTTCTCACGAGTTGCTACCAATTACATTTGAACCATGAAAGAGGAAATACTAATACTTTATTTGAACAAGTTGTCATTTGAGACTTAGTATTAACTTATCAAACTTAGCAGAATTAATTTTTGTGAGTATTGAATCAAGTGAAATTACATAGAATATACAATTTTATCATGCAAATGAAAAGGCTTATAGCAAGTTTATATAAAGTGACTTTTATCTACAAGTGTACAAATCTCATCTGTTTTGGATCTATATTATTCCCTGAAAATATTGTGAATATTGAGAGAGAGTTTATAAGAGTAATATCTGAGAAATCTATTTGGTTTTCTCTTTGCCACATTCCTGTTATGTCACTTTTAGACAAATGACTTGACCTCTGTCATTTTCAGTTTCTTCTTCTGTAAAATAGCAATAATAATACCTACTAGCATTGTTTTGAAATTTCAAATAGGACCCTATCCACAGCATTTAGTAGGTGTAAATGAATACACCTTAGTACTTGAACAAAAAGTGGTTAGTTATAATTGATCTTTATTTCCCAATAAATGTTACCATCTTCTATTAAAATAGCCAGAATTTTCTGTTTTATTCTACCATTTGTTTTTATAATCAAATAAATTTATTCATATACTTCTTAGACTAAATAATTAATTCAACAAATCTCAAACATCTATTAATATATACCACTTCTTCATCACTCATCTGTTGACAGACACTTAAGTTGATACCATATCTTGGCTATTGTGAATAATGATGCAATTAACATGGGAGTGAAGATAACTCTTCAATATACTGATTTCATTTCCTTTGGATATGCAAATAAAATTGCAAGGGTCACACTAGGCTCAACAGACCAAACGAATAATAGGTTAATCATAGTAACTGAGCTTCAGTTAATTGTAGGAGGTTCTGTAATCAATTAACCAGTTAAGTTGTAGCCAATTAAGTTGTCTCTATACCTCACTTCTATTTACTATTATAAATGCTGCCAGATCACCTTGTTGACCAGATTCCTTTGAACCTGTTTTGATTCTTGGGGCTTCCCAATTTGTGAAGTACTATTTGTTTTGTTTTGTTTGCTCAGATAAACTCTGCTAAATTTAAAGGTGCAAGTTTTTTTTTTTTTTCTTTTAACAGATTATTATAGTCAGCAGGATCTCGAGCAGAACTCCAGTGATTCTTTGGAGCAATAAGTAACCAGATGTAGTCCTGCTAAGCCCACTATGCTTTCTGTTTTTATGCTGCATTGGGAGATCATGGGTAAGTTCTCTCTTAGATTCCAAAGCTCCACAGATTTGTGCTTTGAGCTACATGAGTTTGAGCAAATTTTTAATCCAGACTGGATTTGGAAGTTGATTTTAGAATCACAAATAAAAGATCTTTCTTTTTGCATTAAGCCCAAATCAGAGGTTAATTTGTGCTATGACAGAGCACACAACCTTGAGGTGGGTACCAAGGATTATTTTGTATTGTGAGAAAGCATATGACCTTTAAGTGTCTGACTGGATCAAACATAAATTAGACTAGAAGACACGGAGTTCATCTGGATCTAAGAAGTCTAGAATTCCTCCATCTGCAACTCCTGCCAATTTTATATACAGTACAAGAACTATGCTTTCTAGAGAAATGGTGAACACTACCAAAGGTAATTTAGGATTACTGTGGCCACAGGGGAAAAGATTTAACCTAGATAAAATTCTTCACTTCACTTTCCAAGTGCATTACAAAAGAAAGAATCAATTTCAATAGATACAGGGAAAAGTGATAAAATTTAACATCCCTTCATGATAAAAACTCAACAAACTGGGTATAGAAGGAACATACCTCAAAACAATAAAGACCACACATGACAAACTCACAGCTAGCATCATATTAAACAGAGAAAATTTGAAAGCCTTGTCTGGAACAAGGCTTGATCTGGAACAAGACAAGGATACCCACTTTCACCACTTTTATTCAACATAGTACTGGAAATCCTAGCTAAAGCAGTTAGACAAAAGAGAGAAATAAAGGGCATTCAAGGTAGAAAG